GGAAAATAAAATATATATATATATATATATATATATATATATATATATATATATATACACATTAATATACACTGTAGTTTTGATGTGTATAATAGCACTATGATAAAGACAAGATGATCCATGTATATTCTGGAGTTCATATCATAGAAAGAAAGGAAAATATCAAAGGGGTCATCAAATTTTAAGCTTTATCTGCACTAAATTTTCTGAGTATATATCCATTTATCTGCACTGATTATATGCTATAGGAATATCTGTACAATACTGTTATATGTAAACTGCTTAACCTCTTTCATATATGTACATAAATGTCAGCAACCAGCAGACTTACATGCACTTTTTTATTTTATCTGTATATCAGCAATACCTATACTTAATTTTACTTACTACCTATGAAATCTTTTCAAATTATGATAAAATCATCATCAACATCATAATGACGATGATAATAATAATTAAGGCACTACACTAAAGAAAGTAATCTCAGAAGTAAAATTAATAAATGTAGATAGTATGACACTGATACAGGCAGTAAAGAAGGTAAGGGAAAAGAAAGTCTAGGACAGTAGAAACACACATAGAGTGGGGCACCAGAAACAGTCAAGCAACTTGTAACACTTCATATTATAATTCTGTTTCCATACCATGCCATGGTTGGATGGTTTCCTGGCATTTCAGAAAACAGGGCCTGGTGCCATATGTATAGTCCAGGTCATGAGCCAGTTCAGAACTCACTGTTTTGATTGATGTACATTTGAAAAATATGAACACGAATCACAACTTAAGGGACCTAAGTTCCAATTTTATTATTTGTAACTATACATTCACTGGTCAGAACATGAAATTACCCACTGCCTCATTTCCTAGATTATAAAAATTCGAGCTAGGCCACAATTTACATGATTTTCCTTAAATATGGAGGCAGCCACATCGTCTGAAATATCAGTAAATGGCTACCACAACACAGTGTCATAAATAATGCAAACGACATTAGTTATAAATTACCATGAATGTCTGAAGACTTGTGGCATGTTTCGAAGTGCATAGATAATTAAAAATTGTGTTTCTAAAAATCTGCGTCAGGGATTTTATATTATCGTGGAATAATTTTCTAGCCTGACGATTACATATCATGTCAGCACATACGTGGCTAAAAAGCAAGGGTGTTAAACAGTTTCTGACAATGTTTGACATTATCAGAGGAATATTTTTCTTTAGGCATTGTCCACTATCAAATAAATAAGATATATGATATTTTAGAGGCTGATTCTTGCTCTGACTTTAAATGAAAGAAAGAAGGGATTTATAATCTCCCTGATGACGGAGGCAGTGTGACCTCTGAAACGTTGGTTAACATCGACCAGACTACACAGTGCAACATCCCAGAAGACAGAAATCTTCAAAGAAGGAATTCTTTATCTGTGGGGTCCAGTGGCAGTCATCCTTTCTGTATTTGAACCACTATGCCTTGCTCTGAACCATAAATATTAGCTTTCTATTGGTTTACTGGTTTAATCTGGCTCAGGATAGGATTCAGTGACAGGGTCTTCAGAACATATTTGTCAGTAATGAATCTTTGGATTTCATAAAAGACAAGGAATTTCTTTACCGGTTGGGTGACTATAAGCTTCTCAAGAAATATTATCTTCTACGGATTTAGTTTACTTTGTGCCAATATATTGATACATGTTTTGCATATGTATTCATGTATTTGTGATACACAGGCATACATATAAACATTATATATTTTGTTACCATAACTAGGTATGAGTGAAAAAGGGAGAAAACTACACATTAAACAAAAAGGGACTCATGATACTATCACCAGTGTGGGCACAACCCAGTGGCTGAGAAACACTGAACTAAACAACCAAACTTAAACAAAGCAGAATTTCTATGCCAAGTGCTCATGCATTGACTATATGTTTCATAGAATGCATACTCACGCCACATTCCAGAGCTTCGTGTCCCTTGCATCATCTGCATTCTTTGCTTCATCATACGTGCTCGATCCTCCAGATCCTATCAAGAGGGAAAGTGTATAAGAACAGGTTGTTTTTAAATTTTATTTGTTATATGTTGATCTGACAGTAAGTATTAGTAAAGAGGCTAAGTAGATTAGACAGACAAAGACTTATAACCTGATTTAATGAAAGCCCTATTACAGCAGGTATGTAAAACACTGAACTTGACACAATTTAAATATTAGCATAGTATGACCTGTCATTTTTAACAGTAATGAACATCTTTTGCAAAGGACAGTGATCATATTGTAGTTCTACTCTGTTCATTTTTTGTTTTCTTTTATACCAACAATTTGTTGTCAGCTGTGTTTTGAAACCTTTGAAACTGTTGTGGGAAACTGTAATGAAAATCTAGGCACTGCCTGAAGTTTTTAAAAGTCACTGTCCATGCATTATGCAACACAAAAATTATAATTTACAACTCGGATACTCTTATAAGGGTGTTTAAATTAAGTTTCACAAGTTTAAAATTTAGCTTCTATCAGAAAATAAGAATATGTTTACATTTCACATTTTGTATGGGAGAATAATATTAAAATATATCTAAGGAAGTGGTGATGTGAACTGGATTATCCTGGCTGTAAACATTTAATGACTTATGTTACAAGAGTGATAAAAGATAACTTCCATTTTAATGGTAAAGAATCTTAGTAACAGGAAATCAAAATAAATCTTACTAAGGACTATTATCAGTGAGTTAAAAAAACTGCATTCTACTACACTGAGAAAGTGTAAAGTAATGGATACCTGAGTAACACGCTCTTTAAGTACTTTTTGCAGTGCATGTGGTATCTGTGGAAGCTGGCGTTTCTTGGGTGAACCAGTAGGTGTGGCAGTCGCTGAGCGGGAGAAACGTGGAACATAAGCATGTGAAGGAATAGACTGACCATGGAGATGCATTCTACCCTCCGGTGGTGACAGGCTACGATGGTCTCCCATCCGACGTGGGCTTTTTGATCTGCTCCTAGAATGGAGACTTGGAGAATCTGTAGGAGCTGCAGAATGTGAACGTTGACCCATCATACCCTGACCTCCATTCTGGAAGAAATTAATAAATCAAAATGTAGTACTTCTCTCACACTGGCCAAGTGCTTTCTTATCATATCAATAATATCACCATCCTTTCTAAAATCAATGAATCTTACAAAACATAATTGCTATCAAAATCTCAACCAACTAGTGAGACTATTATATTATATAATGAAAACATTAAAAACAAAAATTACAAGTTTTATTATGTCAATATTTCCTTCTATTTACATGTTTGACAACAAATACAAATTCTTCCAACAAATAAGATTTCTCTAATATGTAATAATCTGTATCAGGATAAACATAACATAAATGTATCCTACACCTTTCTGAAGTCCATCTGTTCTTCCTACAAAAAGTTCTGTTAGTTTCTTTAGTTGACACCTTCATATAAACAAATGCTTGTGGCATTTAATACATTAATTTCTGCCAAGGTAAATCAGGTTTAGCACAAAACTGAATGAGAGAAAACTAAAACAAAAACAACTAAAAATCTAATTTAAACTTTATTAAACTTAATTGTATGGGAATAGTGTATAGTGGGGAATAGTGGGTTTAAATTCCTGTATTACAGGGTTGCCAGCTGGATTTTAAAACAGGTGTTAACAGTCTAGCAGCATGCTAGTGTAAAGCGTGACCAGCTGGTCTGTATACATAAGACATAATACATGGTTGAGACTGATGCTAGCTGGTAGTTGGGAGAGATAAATCCATGTAATTTAGCAGGCACACACACTATAGAACAACAACTGTTACTTCCTTTATTATATTTTATTATGTAAAGTAAAGGGGTACACAAAATTTCATTAAAAGGAAAGGAAGATGAGAAGAAAGTAATTTACTTCTCATAATATCTTCTATTACTATAATTATATTTAGTTTTGCACAGTGCAACTTAACTGCCCACATAAACATACATTTCTTTATGAAGATAACTAACCTTCCTCTGAGGTTGATAACTGACTATCTTATCACGACTCATCATAACAGCTGCTCGTTTCCTTCCTTGTGGTGACATGTCACGACGAGATCTCCGAATTTCTTGCATCTCAACTTCAGGTGGTGGACTGTAAATAAAAGAAAACATCATTCTAATATTTTCATATAACATGTACAATCTTAAGTCAAGAAAATTTATAAATAATCTGTTATTTGAACAGAAAGCAACTGTTTACTTTTTAGCATAATCTTGTAGAAATTTACATGTCAGATTCTACATTGCTAATAAATAATAAGTATTGAGTTATTTTATGGCTCTGTATCAAATGCTGAGATTATGTAGCATCAAACAGCTATAGTAGAATGACTCACTCATGAACTGAAAATAATATTTTATTTCAAGGATTGTATCCTGGTATACAATCAATGTAATAATATATGTAGTATGCTGTCTACACAACCTTTATATTATAGTTGTATTTACACTACATGTTATGGACATACTAAGACATTATCAGGTGTATACTTAAATGTTGAATGGTTTTATGATGACTGCTGTTATACATATCATGTTCTACAACCTGCTAATCTACACTATGGATCCATGAGTTGGTTTTACATTTCTATATATATGCTAGTTATGTAGTGCCAGACTATTCTGATTATCATGTTTTGAGGCTGTTTGAGATGATTAGTCATTCATGTAATTCTGGTAATATTTCAATGTTGACAATTTAAAATTATACTTAAAAACAGTAATTAAAAATAAATTAAAATGAAAGTGATTTAAAAATTTGATGCATTAATAGTGTAGCTGTGAAGGTATAGTGAGTATATGAAGTCTTAATTATAGTCAATTTAGCATACAAAAAAAATGGGTTACTGTCTCTATATGTAATTCTGTAACATACAAAGAAAGATAATTCTAAGAAAATATGAAAATTAATATTTTTCTCATAATTATACTTCCTCATATATTACAGAATTACACACAAAAGTCAGATAACCCCTTATCAAAACTTTGCCTAGCTACTTTACTTTCAAAGTTCAGGTGTGCTGTGCTGTAATGGATCTACAGAAAATATATTTGTTAAAGCCATTTTATTTAGAATGTTTTACAACATTATGGTGGCCACATAGAATCTATATATAGCTTTAAGTTTAATGATGATCATTAATGCCTCATTATATCTATGTAAAATTTTGAGTAGAAATAATCATAAATAAAACACATAATTCATGTTACTAATTACAAACATGGTGATGGTGAATAATGTTTGAAGTTATTTCCAGCAAACTATATGCAGTCAGTACCTATGCTACTGGAAATCATACACTAAAATTAATCATTACATTACATAATTTTTATTGTGTATTCTTGCTAGCTCCACCATTTTCACAGAAGCATTTTAAGGAAATCTAGCATCATAAGTCTTCCAAGAACTTCTTGATTTGTTCACATATCATCTTCAAATAAATATGGTTTTGATTAATGTACCTGGATGAACTACCAACACTACTGATGGATGCTCCATCAGCAATTCGATGTTCTCTAACCCCAACACCACTCAGTCCATCCTCCAAATCACACTCAGATGTATCCGAATCAGATAACCTTGATGTAGTGCTTGGAGGTGATAAATGATCTGTTGGAGTCAAGGCCAATTCCATATCCGTAGGATCAACATCGCCATGCCGCTAAAATAACAAATGAACTATGTTAAGTTACAGTAACATCTGTGTCTTAATTTAAATAGTACACTACATGGCCAGGCAAACATACTTAAGTCTGTGATGAGTATTCATTCTGTAACTTTCCTCCACACAGGCCCTTAATTAGCTTCATTTTATGACATCCACCTTGTCATGCAATTAGGACACACAGGATAAATCTCTGTGTTATTTATTCAATTATGGGTCATTACAGAAGGTGTTATTCACACACCTATCTTTCATTAAATCTTGAAAATCAACTTCCATTGATCCCTTCATAACATATTTACATTAAAAATAATAGCAAAGCAGTGCTTAAATATAAAAACACATTGTCAGATGAAAGTTACACAATTACATAAATAATATGCCTTACACAACTATAAAACAACTATAAAACTTTAGCATCTCATCAAAATCTAGCCTTCCAAAAATTTAAATATATATGAAAATGAATGTAAGTTACTTAAAATCTTTAATCAAAGGGAATTTAGAAAGATAAGGACTAGAGGAATTTTGTATAAGCAGCTTACCTTCACAGTACAAAACCAGAGTGGCTCTGATCTACACAACACTCAACACATGATACACTGAGCAAAAAGGGAAATTAAAAAGAAAATGGTGGAGAAGAAAATGGGGAGAAAGGAAAGGAGGGAGAAGGAAATCTAGGGGAAACAAAAATCAAGCTAGAAGAATGGCATTAATGCAGTGAAGTCAGAAATAAAGCTAGAAGAATTACACTAATGCATTAAAATCAGAAATGAAGAATTACACCAGTCCACTGAAACCAGAAATAATGCCAGAAATCATGCTAGAAAAATGACACTAATGCACTGAAGCCAGAAATCAAGTTAGGACAATAACACTAATGCAGTGAAGCCTTAAATCATGCTAGAAGAATGCAGTGAAGCCAGAAATCAAGCTATAGGAATGACACTAATGCACTGAAGCCAGAAATCAAGTTAGGACAATAACACTAATGCAGTGAAGCCTTAAATCATGCTAGAAGAATGCAGTGAAGCCAGAAATCAAGCTATAGGAATGACACTAATGCACTGAAGCCAGAAATAAAGCAGGAAGAACTGCACTAATGAAACAAAGCCAAAGGTGTAGGGGACCAAAGACAATGGGAATAAGTATAAATTGGTTTGATATTTAATTAAAATATCAGTGACTGTATAAGCCCATACTTACAGCATGTGAATGTGTCAGTATTTCTTCGTGAGCACTAAGGTAGTACCAAACAGGTTCCTCGTCAAGAGGTGTTTCACTCAGTTCCATTACGACCTAATAATACATTTCATCTCATTACATTACAATCAATAAACCATTACTATGTAGGATAACTTAAATATAAGACCTTTATCTTTCATAAACATCTATAAGGAGCTTAGAAAAAATAAATGGATTAGTAGAATTTGTAGAAGAAAATGGACTGCAGTAATATGATCACATAAAGGAAGCTGTAATGGAATTAAGAGGGTTGTAGAAGTATATTGGATATCCAAAACAGTCAGCTTCACACAGATCTCTTTACAAATAATTCAGGCCCTTTTTGTAAAGTTCTGTAACTACCCACTTCATGCTTTAAAATAATTTTACCCACTTTTCCAGCCACTTCTTTCACCCAGGTGTTCAGATATAAGCAAGTTTATAGCCCTTGCATGTATAAATCAATCTCAGTGACGTCTTCATTTGCAGTTTTTCATAATTTCCATTAGACTGAAGCATTGCACCATCATTTTTATCTTACCTTTGTTTTTAGATTTTTACCCACTTGAGGTTTTCCAACTATGCATTTTGTCCTGACTTGTTTCACCATCAAGTTCCCTTTTTCACTAGCTTTAATCACTTTAACTTTTGTGTCCAAAACCAACATGACTCTCTTCTTGGACTCCTGGTTGTAACTCATAAATAACTAAGCATCACTAGATTAATATAAGAGAACTGTATGCCCTATGACTATATTAATAAATTTCAGGCTAGTAGCTATGGTCTCGTTCTCATTCAAAATGGTATAAAAAGAAATATGTTTTGACAATGATAATGCTTTCTTCAAATTTTGTGCCAAGCTGCAGCACATGCCACCTATCTGTCCTTGCAAAGTAATAATACTGTATAATACTAAATGTCTTTCCATGTTCTACTTCCTATTCAAGTACAAATGAAGCAATGCCAAAAGTACAAAATTTATGAAATATTTACATAAATACAGTAATGCCATTATTAACTTAAAAAATCAGTATATGTAACCTAATCATCTAGGGAATGAAGGCACGACTTTGAATTTGGCACACAGTACAAGACTTACAATAAAATGGCATCTATGATGTTTTAGAAAATAAAAAGTCAGTCTTTATAATTATGATTCCTGTTATGTATCCACGATAACCCAAGGTCTGAATCTCAATAAACATCACAAATCCTGACTGATAGTTTGTGTGGAGTTCCTCAATCATTACAGATAAATTTAAAACAACCCCCCTCCCAAAAAAAATCAATTCATCATTAATTATAATCCTGCTACTTGATACTATATAACCTAAGAAGTTGATAAATTTCATTAAGAAACTAAAGAATGAGACATTAACCAGAAATAACCTAATTTCAGGCTCATTATAATTTTGACACAAAACTAAGTATTTCTATTTTTCTGACATTAAATAGGCAAGATAGATCAGTTCAAAGACAGAGAGGACAATTGCAGTAGTGCAGAGTAGAAGAACCAAATGCAATTTTATCACATAATATTTTAATTTTTAATAAAGGAAATGAACCTGATAAATATGTGAAGAAAGATGTCTGCAGTTCCGACAAGCATTATGGGACAGGGGAAACATGGTTAGGATTCTGCACCTCATCTATCTTCATCAAACTCAACACAGAATTCCTTCCACAGACTTTATTTTAGTGGAAAGTAGGACATTCTTCTATTGATAAAACAGTACCTCTCCAAGAAAATCATTGGCCCCATAACGGACATAGTCCCACACTGTCACTTCCAATACCCGAAGCTTCAAATCGGCCCGACGAATTGATGAGTAGATGAATTTTTGATTCCACTTGGGGTCGTTGGTGTTGGCTAGTGTTTTTGTCCGCCTCTTGGACTTCTCACTGCAAATTGCCATAACCACTTTTTATGCACCACATTTAACACTTATGAAATATGTGAAGTAAAACTGATCGTAATTTTTATGTTAATATTAAGAGTATATTTTTCATTCGATATTGCAACATTAAAGCATTTTCTGCAACTGAAATATATTTCTGTATTTCTATAACAGAATGTTTATTAAAATAAAAATTATCTGGGAAACACTTCATGTGTGAATGTAAAAATTAGATAATGTATCTGCACTTTTAATAGTTCTGTTTTATGGTAATAAAGTTCCTTATATTAAAGTTATGGAAACATAATTTAAAATTATATAAAATATAGCTGCAAACCACTGCATTCCTTTGTGTGTTACCTTTCATATATTTTTCAAAGAAAGAAACACTTCAAAACAAGACATCATATACACAAACAAAATAATATCCAATTTAAAAACAAAACTTTTTAAAGTATAAATTGAAAAGTTACTGACACTGTTCAAATTAAAATATTTTTTATTTAACATAATTTAACATAATGGCATATACCTCCGATCAGGCAGCAGGAAGAGTTTGGCATATGGGTTGCGAGGCTGACCATTATTCCTAGGGGTGAGCCCAGCTGCACTGGCAACTGTCACAACCAGCTCAAGTGCTACTGAATCGAACCACAGCTTCACCTGAACAGTAACAGTAGGTCATGCAATACTATTTTTACATTTGGTACATTAGAGTACACCAACACAGAAGAGCTAACTTTTAGTGCTATCTGACAAAGAGAATTTAAATATCCACATTTGATCTCTACAAAAACTAATTTCAGTCACTGTATCCATCCTTATTTTATATACACACACAATTTGAAATAATAAAATAAACAAGTGAATATCCAAAATCAATCACAAATAAATAGTTCTCACTTATGATAGAAATAACTTGTATATGACAACTACCGATAAATTTATTTATTTCTGTGTAGGCATATTTTATATGAATACAATTATTTATGCATATAGATGTAATTTTACACATGGTACAGAGGGAGGTGAAAACTTATTTTTACATGTTGAGAATATACAACCAAAATGCTGCATTGATCAACACCTTTTCTCTGTTTATCACTATTAAAGAAACTGTTCAAAAGTCAGGATGTTCAGTCAGTCTTTTATATAAAACTGGGTTGTTCATTTGCGTATGTATGCTATGATACTAATAGCACATTTTATTTTATGTTGTGTATTTTGTTATTAAAATATTGTTAGGAATGTTGTCAGAACTCACTGCTGTACTGAGTAAAAGAATAGACAGATAACAGCAGCTGAGTGGTTAGCATTCTGCTTCAAATTCAGGAGGTTCTGGATTCAAATCTTGGTTCAGAGACCAGCTAACCTGATTGAAGTTTTTGTGGTTTTTCACAGTCCCTAAAGGCAAGTGTCAGCATAGTATCTTAAATTAGGCCATGACCACTACTTTCCATATATCCTTTCTAATGTACTTGTTATTAATGGTCCCACTATTTGAAGCTATAAGTTAACAGTGTGAACTATTTACAGCATCATTAAAAAGCAACAAATGAAGACAGAGACACAAGTAAAATAAAGAAAAACATAGATTACAAGAAGAAAACTGAGTATTTCAAGAGCAAAAACTGTAGTGTTGCTTTACAGAGCATAGAGCTACACCACATGTGTAATGTGTGAATAAAATGCAAGATTATCAAAAGAATACAATTTGAGGTGGTATTCTGAAACTAAGCATAACAATTTTAAAATAACATTTTCTGGAAAACTAAGAGAACAACATTCTTCTTTTATTTCATAACTGAAACTCAATCAGAGCATTATAAAAAATATTATTATGTTTCAGAATAAGGTCTAAATGTATCCTAGTCAACAGTCAAGTCAGACTGTCAGTCTATTGAAAATTAATCATTCTGCTAAAAGTATGCATTATGCATAGGATAAGCAATATGTATAAGTATGATCCAGCCTACCTATTGGTGTATACATTTCTAACCCAAACATTTTGCAAGCTACAATGTATACAAGATACAGCTGTTAAATAAAAACTATTATAAGGGAGAAAAATTTGAAACTTTATTGAAGGGTTTTAAACCACCCATACTATAGGGTTATCAGCTGGATTTTAACTCTGGGTTAAGTTTAGTAGCATGCTACTGCAACTCACAGCCAGCAGCACTGAACATAAGCTGGTTAAATATTCTGTTTTGCCTTTTATTCAAAAGCAATTTCAAAGTTCCTGGCAACAATAACAAATAAGAATTTAAGCTTTCTTTAAAAACTCTTCATAAAGCAACTTGTAGGCAAAGAAAAACTAGATAATGGAGACAATTTTAAAGAGAAAGGTTGCGCGTTCTGATCTAAACTCTCTTACTGATACTATGCATCATACTGACCTGTAACCGACCTCCTACATTGGAGTTAGTAGGTGAAGAGCCCAACCTAGGTGGACAAGCTGAGCGGACTGGAATGTGAAAGTCTGGTGAACCTGGAGAAGTCACCAGAACACTGGGCTTGTCTCGCCGACCACTGTCATAAATGTCTGGAATAAAAAACACACAACAGCTATTACAAATTATATTGAAGCTATTCCACAGCACGATTTGAGTTTTTAATGGTGATAAGTATGAAGATGGCTATTTCTGGTTGTAATGTTGTGTAGTCTGATAGAAGTTTAACAACGTTTCAGAGGTTCTTGCTGCCTCCATCAATAGGATAATGAGTTCCTAATGATGAAAGCAGCAAAAACCTCTGAAACGTTGGTAAATTTCTACAACAATACACAGCACTACAATCCAGAAGACAGCCATCTTCTAGTTATTACACAATTTGCACTGTGCAGTGTGTTTTGTTTATGTTAGAAAATATACATTGTGTAATATTATACAGTGAGTATTTCTACTTCATCTTATACGCTCAAGATTTAGTCAAATAAAGTAGAATATAAAACTTGCAATACCATATTATATGTGTCAGTATCATAACTAATTCTGTGGTGCAGAGTCTTTCCTGAAAAGTTAATAACCATTCAGCTGGTCGAGAACATCTTTATCCTTTATTTAACCTGATGGGTCATCATTGTGTACAACAGCCGACAAATGAACCTCATCCTGAACTACATGAATCCAGTCCACACCCTCTCACATCATATAAGATTAATTTTAATACTATGCTCCCTCCCTCTTTTGGTTAGATATCTCAAGCAGTCTCTTCCAATTGAATTTGTAATTACCCCCATTTGTCCCATCTTCAATATCATATCTCCTGTTATAATAAGGTATTTTCAATGGGATACACTCAAATTACAATTGTGTGAGCTATGACTGATCATCATTATATCAAGTTCCTTGCTGTGCAGATAATGCTTATATATATATAGTATTTGTCAGTGTGTGTGTGTGTCAGTAAACAGTGAAATAATAATGTGATTTCATAAAAATAACAAAATCCATATAGAAGATATAACATGAAAAACTTAATCACTAGTCATACAACATTTACTGTTCTAATGTCTGTTGAATCACATTTCTTTAAGGATTTATGATCTCAAATATAATAAAGTATACCAAAATTTATACAGGAAATACAGCAATCATAAGGTATCATACTAATTATATAAACCACAAGAATAAATCATATAAATATGACAATTATAGAAGATATCACATCCATGGCAACATAAAAATGAACATGGTACGTTATTACACTTCATAACATTATGTCTATATATTACAAAAGAAACAGTATCACATCTGTGGAAGAAAAAAATACTTCAGTATCATATTGTCTTTACTCAACAACTTGACAAATATTCATCAAAGTCAAACTCCACAATACGGCAGTTTGTTGTTCATACAACAAACAAATTAACTGCATAGAGCAGAGTTTTTGAGAAGCTAATTGTGTCTCTTCTAGTGAGGAAATTCCTCACCTTTTATGAAAACCAAATGTTTCACTAGACCCTGTCCTGGGGTTAGAATCCAATCCACATATACAATACTTAAACGTATCTTAATGTTATCCTTCTATCTACACACACATCTTCCCAAATGGTTTCTTCCCTTCAGATTTTCCAACTAACATTTTGTATAAATTTTTCATCTCCTCAAGAAATGCTATATGCCTTGCGCATCTCCTCTCCCTTTATTTCACAGCCCTAATAATATTTAGTGAAGAGTACAAATTATGAAGCTCCCCATTATGCAGTCTTTGTAAATACTGCAAGTGTTGGTTTTGACAGACACACTGTTCATATGTTACAGATTTAATATGCTATTAGAAATCATTACTTTTAGTCAGCTATTTTTACTATTAAAGAATGTCAGTATAGTCACACAGTTTAATTTCAAGCTTTAAAACAGGGGACTACATATTCTCCAGTAGCACTTAATCTAATAATAATAATAATAATAATAATAATGCTTTCATAAAATAAAATTATATAATACATGTGGCACTTGCTAAAAACAATATGAGTCCCGGAAATAGCTGCTGCCCTATGTACCTTAGGGACAAGGTGTGTCTCGGGTACATTAAAGTACATACCCCATAAAGTGGTGAAGAGATGGGATGATGATGATAATAATAATAATAATCCATTGTTTTAGTTTTACTATTCATCTAAGATATACAAACAGTTTCTCTCTTTGTCTCTAGCAGGTCAATGCTAAGACAGTTGCATCTGCATAATATGTGAAGCCTCATACTGTAACAATTTGTTCTTGTGATGGCAGAATATCCCAACACAATAACCACATGGAGTCCAAAGCATGTGCTGCCTTGGGCCAATGGCATACTGGGATAGCAAATTATAATTCCCCTTAAGCTTGTGTGTTTGAGTTCATCTGTGTTGGCTTCCAAATGTACAATCTTCAGATGAAATTACTTCCTGAAGAGGTTTTAAGAGACCCTCTACAATCTGAAGAGTCAAAGTCTTGAACTGGGCTGCTGAAAAGTGTACAAGGTTCACATGGGACTGAAAAATATTTCACTGCATCATATTTTGAACCAATTCAATCTGCTAACATCACCAGAAATGATTTCCTTCATATTCAGTGCAATATGTGCCCGATATTCCAAAAAAGTCATTTTTACAGTAAATTTCTCCACTAAAATTTATAGGTTTTATGTTACAAAACAACTGAAAATATGTTTATGTTTAGTGTTCTGGAAAGTAAATGAAGCAAAAAAAGAAAAAGAAAGATATCAGCTTAATAATAACAAATAACATTTTTTAAAAATTATTCTTATCTTAATTTCATCACAAATCTTATTGTTAATATGTTATTACAATTTCCAGGTATTGTATATATGTTTGCAAATATTTTCAAATTTTCAATTAGCTATTATTTTATAATAATTTTGTTATGCATTTTTGTTACATGTTCTCATACTTAGTACTTATCATACATACTTAATACTTATTATTTATTTCTATATTAAGTCATTCTTGGCTTTTATAAGAATTCTCATCTTATTCTTTGTGATATTTATGTAAATGTCTAATAAAGGAACATCATCATCAAATACATGTTAACTATTCAGATCACTCTACAGCAATCTTTGGTGATTCTCCTGGACTTTTCTGATGGCATATTCTACAAAAAAATTAAGAGGTCACAGTGACCTTATTTTAACAAATATCCACCTGGAATTTACTAAACATTTCATGCATACACGTATCTGAACTACCTAATCAAGTTCTTACACATTCCAAATTCAATTACAATTATGAACAATATTTGTGTCCTGTCATTCTAATAACATATGCATAATGATAGAGAGTGTTGCAAAGGATAAAAAATTCACAATGCCTACATTCCTATTGTAAATACTTTTATGTTATATTTAGGTAATCCAACAACACCATGCAATAGCCCATAGGTCAGCATGCTGGAATTAGGCATAGATGGTCATATGACACAATCCCACTCAGGTCACATTTCTTTATTACTGCTAATAATTATAAATGTTATAAAGACTATTATTATTATTATTTATATTTAAGTACAGATTCTATCTATAACTTAAACTAATCACATATAAGCTAAAATTATGCACATTCACTTAAAAAAATATTTCATAAAATAGTTGTGAATATGTTTAAGATCTGTCTCCACGTTGGTTTACAATTTACTAAATAAGTAATCACAATAAAACAAACATATTTACTGAAGATCTATTGCCATACATTGTTTCAGTATCCTACATTAACTGGTTCATACACCATGTTGTTATAACTGAGTGCAAAAATAATTTGAGAGTATGAGGATGCAGCAGCCTATAATGACATAATATTCATACAAAGTTTAATGCATACTGATCAAAAGGTTCAAAATATGAGATAGCATTAGTTTTTCTTTAAAAATTGAGGAGGTTATGATGAATCTGAATTGTAGTTTGTATAGAATGCAGTCACTTGAGATACAAAAAAGGTTTAAGAATATAATAATAAAATTTCTATTAAGGAAAAATATTTTGTTAGTATAAATTAATTTAAATTAGTTCAGGACCAGATCTAATAGCATGCTTTAGTGTAAACTGTGTTAAGCATTTAGTTATAACACCTGGTGGTTAAATTTGCTTCTTAATACTTATGACTTTCATTCACTAACTTGTCTACAGTAAAACTGTATGGACCTGCAATTTTTATATTGAAGGTTTTCGAACAAAATAATATTGAAGGTTAAACCTACACGTTGACTATGAATGAAATGTTAAATAACTTATTTAAACTTTATTTAAGAATTACACTGAGAATATGCTTGTAATTACTCATAATTAATTGTAATTATGGACATACCAATACATTAATTCTTTTCTATTTTAAGAGATACATTAAATTATTCAAGGATCAAGATTATTTGCAAAGTTTAAACATTATGTGATAATGGAGATAATTATCACTTTAGACTAAGGCATGCACTAATTTTGAAATTAAATTTTACTATGCACATATTCAATTCACAGTACCAAATCCTGTTTTCAGTATTTTGTTCTTTTAGTATTTGAACACAAGGTTCAATAGCGCTGACAGCAAGATCATTGCAAATATGGATAGAAATAAGACAAGAGAAGAGGATCATAGAAACTCGCTCATCTTCCTCATTCTCTTACAATACCACACAACACCAATCACAGCACATGCCACCCCAATTTCACCTACACCACTGACAACCAGAATCTCCCACAGCTTAATTTATAGCTACTACATTTTAATAAGAATTAAACACACATCAAAAAGTTGTTGCTCCCATTAAAAAATATAACATTTAGTTCACAAATAACATTTAAAACAGCAAATTTTAAGCCAGTTTGTATACAGTGAGACAAATCAGTTCCAATGAATCCTATAAAAGGAAGTAAGAGTGAATCATTGAGAAAGGGGAAGAAAAAATTAAGATGTCTACTTTGCCCTGTAGAAAGTCGAAGCATGCTACCTGCAAATCAACATCTCACATTGCCAAGCAGACATATAAATATGTAGCTCAGATCACACAACAAAGAAAGTTAACAACTGAACGGCAGGCAGGCAGATGGGCA